AAATCTGCTTTTATTTGTTGTATAACAGAGATGCTGCAGGTTTAGATTAAAGTTTCAGTCACAAAAGTCTGTTTTCTGACCTTTTTTTGTCAGTAAGATTCAGAAACTCACAAACAAGTTTCTTAAAGTCGGTTTTCCTGCTGAACACCTGCAGCCTTCCTGGTCCGTTTTCACCACGCGGCTCTAAAATCTGTTTTTATTTATTGTAGAACAGCATTAAAAGAGCAGCACTGATGTTTAGATCAGGATGTTCAGACGCCAAACTCAGTTTTCGTGCCTTCTTTCTCAGCAGGATTCAGACAAAACAACAAAAAACTGACCTCGTCCTTAATTTCGGGCGTCAACACGAAGGCCGGGCTCCATTTTGTGCCGCCGCCGCCTGAAACTTGATAAAACCGTCTATCTGCATACTGGCAGCGGCTCGTCATTAGTGCTGGGAAGCTCGGAGAGAGGAGGAAACCCTGAGGGAGGCGAAGAGCAGAGATCTGTCAGTAAGAAAGTCATTTACAGGAGGCTGGGAGCTGCCGAGGAGCTCCACTTCAGACTTATCAAACCCGTTACAAGACACCGAAAATCAAATTAGTTACAGCCGACAGCTTTGTTTCAGCAAAAGTAATACATTTCAAGATACGGAGTCGAGCGAGACGTCTTAAAATGTAGATTATTTGATGCCTTTTCTGCTTTTATCAGGTTTTTTTTCTTTCCTTCTCCGTCAGTGTGAAGTGAAACATAAAGGAGGAAGCTCTCGGCTCTAATTGGGTGTTAAGAGTCATCAGGACGGAGAAAGTCTGAAGCTTCAGGCGACTTTCAGCCTCTTTTACTTCACAGTTTTGGTTTTCTGGCTGCGCAAAAGTCTGAAGAAACTAAATCAGAAGTTCAACCGTTATTTAAAGTTTTATAGTTGTGAGAAGCTTAAAAGTTTATTATCTGTAAAAACTGTTGAATGAAACCAACAAAAACCAGATGTTTTAGTCTCTGTCGTCCTTCTGCTGCAGCGACTGAACCGTCTGAAGTCTGAGCATTTTCTGCTTCTGTCTCGTTTTTATTCACGTTTCTCTGCAACATGAAGTCCGGCAGCTTTACGGAAACAGAACGACATGAAGGAGGATAATCTTCTTTTACAATAAATTAAACTGAAGCAACAGAATTTGAAAAACACCATATTTGTGTCATTGCTTTTGGAAATTCACAATTTACAATACAACTACTACTACTAAATTTTTTTAAACAAATTTTCGACTCTACTGCAAAAGTTTTTTTTTATTTTGCAGAATTTTTCCTTCTTATTTCATCCTATTTTGTGAAATACACACACAAATATCATCACATTATAAAACATGCAGTGAATTTACACGTTAATGCAAATTAACACTAAGAACCTGCAGCTGTCGGTGATTCTTTACAAACTGAAGCAGCTAAATTTTTGACTTTATCGTTTAGTTTTCCGCCTCAGATTTGTGCATCAGATTCTTTCTCTTGTGTTTTTGTGTTTTTTTTTTTGTGTGTGTGTTTTTCCGCGAAGCTTCTGAACCGTAATGTGTTTTAATTTGGGAGCTCTGCAGCAGCCTCGTTTAATGGACGCGCAGAGCCATCCTCGGCCGGCTAATGCAGCCCAGCGACATCTTTAATGACATAATGCAAACCAATGCCGTCTCTGATTAAATAATGCAAATGTAATGTTTCGTTCTGTAATAGAATAATGCAGCATAAATTCGTTACTTAATGGGATTACGGCAGCTGCAGTAATCACTTGTCTGACGAGCTAATGCTGACTGAGGGAGGAGGGCTAATGGCGGCCACACTGGACGCTCGGCCGCCGAGCTGTTTGTCTCCGTCTGAACCCTCGTATTTGTTCCATCTTTCTCCTATAAAACATCAGGACGCTGCCATTCTCTCTCCTTCCCTCTTTTTTTTTTTTTTCAGTTTCCAAAGTTTGCAAACTGTGACGCACGGAAACGCTCAGACCTCCGCTGAAGGTCGTGTCACAGATTGAGTTTTCCCGACTTTTAAAGATAAATCAATCTTCCATTAATGGCGAACGAGTGCGTTTCTGTCTCTGTGTGGAAATCCTGCGTCGCTGCTGCTGCTGCTTCTCTGAACGTCTGCGTGAGATGAAGACAAACTCTGAACGCTGCGAAAACCTTCCTGCTTTCACATCGTGTTGCTGCCGGGATCAACTTTAAGTCACATTTTCTTTAATTTTAATGCATAAACTGTGACGTAGACACGATTTTAACATTTAAAAAAGGCAAAAACACCCAAAACATGGCGGCAGGATGAAACTTAATGATTTAAATCAACATTTTAAGTCGCCAACATCACTTTAGGATTAAAAAATGTTGCATCAACTTCATATTTTGTGTAATTTAAACTCAAATTTCTGCATTAGTTGAATTAAAACTAAGTTCAAGTTGACAAAACTCACTTTATAACTTCATTTTTCTTCACTTTGAGGTCAGATTTTCTCTTTTATCTGCTGAACATTGAAGCAACTAAATGTTTTATTTCTGCAACGTACAAACTTTTGCTCATAAATACGAGAGTTTGGTGTAAAACACTTAAAAAAATATTTAAAATAATGTGGAAATACACTGGAACTAATATTTATTTACGGGAAATGACTGTTTATGCTTCTAATAATTAATGTAAGCGGTAATTAAAAGTACCTTTAATCCCTTTTAGTTAATGTAGTTTGTTGATTAATACAAATAAATGTATTTATTTAAAAAGACTGATGCAAATGAGACCATTACAGCTTAATAAATAGTGTTAAAAAACAACCGTAGGGTCCAGTTTTTGCAGAATAGAGTTAAAAACAAAAAAAATCTGATGTTTTTTTGGGAGCAAAAACATGAAAACACTGTTTAAACAACATATTTAATAAACTGTGATGTGTCACTGTGAATAAATGTTCCAAATATATACAAATATAGGTTTTTATTTATCCTTATTTAAAACATAAAATTGATTTTTTGGTTCTGAAACACTTTATTAAAGACAGTTATTTATCATGGACACCTTTAATTTACATTTAATACGTTTTAAAAGGAGAAAATGCCGTTTACAGCCTAATGTAGTTAACGTTGATATAAATACAGTTTATTATCAGGACGTCCAGTTAAGGTATTAAACAGAAAACCTCGTATTCTGCTGCAGCAACACTGGAAATACTCAGTGAAACACTGGAGAGCACAGCTGGCAGCATTTTACAGGAAAACGTGTCGCGTTGTTATGAAAAGCGATGGATGCTTTGTGCACAAACGTGTGTGTGTGTGTGTGTGTGTGTGTGCGCGCTCAGACACTCGGATTGCTGATCAATACGCGTGATTGAAGGGCCCATTAGCCATCGGAAGCAATAGAGACGGCATCAGTCCACATGACAAACTCCACACACACACGGCGGATGACAGGCAACAAATTAAAGGCCTGAGTGTGATGAATATACATCCCATAAACACACCTACAGCCGGACTCTGATCCGGCTCTGGACCTGCACTCTGGGCCCTCCATCCGTCTGCCTCCCGTCTGCTTTATGGCCCACTCTGACTCCTGATTTATAATTATGCAAACCAGACCTGAGCGGCGCTTTTCCCTCTCGGTCCGATCCGTCATAACTCACGTTTCAGTTTTCTGCTCTCGACCTCAACAACTGCTTTCGTGCAAACAAGAAATTACGTTTATCCTCGTTTCGGCTGCTCAGAAGTGAAAGTTTTTGCTTTTATATTCAGTTAAAATCACCCAAGGTACAGTTACTCAAATATGACCTAACAATGACAACAAACAGGTTTGAAGTGCTGTAGTTTGGGTTGTGTTTTAGCTTCATGCTAAACTAGAAGATGTTTTCTTTCAAGTGAAGCCTCATGCATGCATTTATTTCTGCTTTAAGCTCATTCATTTGGATGAGTTGTGCAGAGCCGAGACTAGAAGTTACAGATTATAAAGCAAAAATAAACAGAAGCTCTGGAGTCACACAGATTGTACGTAAAATGAAACACATGAACCTCCAAGACAGACACTTTGACACTGACGTGGGTCGTTCTGGGGTTTAAAATGAATAAAAATATGTGTAAAGTGACTCAGAATTCATTCGTTCATTGAAGATGACTCAAAATGTGTCCAAAGTGATTAAAAATGTGTCTAAAATGACTCCAAACGTGTCCAAAACAAATGAAAACATGTGTAAAGCGACAATTTATTCAAAATATTGTTCAATATGACTCAGAATTTGTCCAAAACAACTCAAAATTTGGACCAAAATGACTGAAAACGAGTCCAAAACAAATGAACACATTTGTAAAGTGACTCAAAATTCATTCAAAATGACTCAAAATTTATCCAAAATGAACAAAATTTGTCTAAAGTGACTCAAAATGTGTCTAAAATGAATAAAAATGTGTCTAAAATGACCAAAAGTTGTCTAAAATGACTCCAAACGTGTCCAAAACAAATGAAAATATGTGTAAAATGATTCAGAATTTATCCAGAATGTGTTCGAAATGAATCAAAATGTGTAAAGTTACTTAAAATGTATCCATTATTTATCCGAAATAAGTTTTGTCGATTTACTGGTCGGGCTCTCGCTGTAGAATTCTAAATGCAGGATTTTACTGTTTTAAATGGTTATTGTTACGTCCACTCACTGAGAGAGGAGGAAGAACGTTAGAGCTCATTGTTTTCATTCATATTTAAACACCAGAACCAGAGAAACAAACGGTGGCGATCAGTGTAGAAACAATAAAGAGTCTGTTTTGGTTTCCAGCTGCCTTCACTGAAGGTTTCTACTGCGTTCCTCCACTGGAGCCATCAGGAAGGTTCTGCTGCAGAAATAAACCAAACTTTGGATGACGTGCAATCTGGGCTGACAAAGAGCCGCTTCTTTAAAAAACTGAAATCATTACAAAGTGAAGACTCATACATCTCGCTAATGATGGAACGACTCTTAAGGTCACCCCAAAGACACGCCACAGTACAAGAGTTTCTTCTTTTTCTGTTCCCTGCAGGAGGAAGGAGACTCGAGGTTCTACTGCGAGCTCTGCGACAAGCAGTACGTCCGACACCAGCAGTACGAGAACCACATCAACTCGTACGACCACCATCACAAGCAGGTGAGTCTGTGGCGGCACCTTGAACCCTCCTGGCCAAGGTCGTGGATTTATTACATCCCCCCGACACAGAGAGCACTCCACTCCGGTTTCAGACACACTGCGGTCGAGAGAATCCCACCAACACATAACAATATCCATCCTCGTGACCGCCGACTGTAAACTGCAGCACCTCAGCTGATTGATTTTCTGAAGAAGTGAGAGTCGCGCGATGACGGTGTTTGTTCTGAATGCAGTGATGCTCAGTGATGCTCCATAATGCTGCGATTAACACGGACGATGCTGAGCTCGCTGCTGAAGGACGGCAAATATCAAATCAGGTTTATTTATGCTGCGCGTTCTGAGGGTTCAATATGATGAAAATCCATTTTTATTGTGTTTTTGGAAACTTAAAGGTGTGATATAAACGCTGTGAGGCCATAAAGATGTTTCCTTCTGCACCTCCTCAACGAGAAAACCTCTGAGCTTTACCAGCCAGTAAGAGTTTTATTCAGTTTCTGAATGAGCAGCTGCCTCTCAGTCCACCAGGTTTATTTACTGTC